ACCTGTATCGTTCTGCATATTGTACTGACATAAAGTACAGAAAAGCTGCCCATGAAACTTCTGCCGAAGATGGATCATGTTCTCATGCATCGACAGCTGAAAGCGCCAAATATCAGCAACTCTGGACTTGACACAAAACACTCACCTTATAACTCCGGCTTGCTGGGCAGGATATAGGCTTCTCAGGCGAAGCACGAGGGTGTGCAGCCAGGCTTCCACCTGCATTTCGTGCACCCCGTGGGGCGGAGACGAAGCCTCTGCGAATTGCTCATAGAGCGATAGTGCTCGCGATCCGGCTTCGCCGCACTCTTTGCTTTGGCCGTGGCCTTGGCCTTAGCCTTTGTGGCAGCCTTTGCAACGGCTTTTGCCTTTGCTTTGGGCTTAATCTGGGCCTTGGCCTTGGCCTTGGCCTTCCCTTTGGGCTTGGCCTCACTTGGCTTCTTCTTCGTGTCCAAAGCCTCCGTCACGATATTGGTGGACTTGTCCACCTCCCCCATGAGGTCATTGGCGAGTGGCTCATCCATGGGCAACTCCGTCTGAAATGTGTTGCTGGCCGGATTCCCTGCTGGCTGGCTAGTGTTCGGCAACCCAATCGACGACGACGGCAGGCCACTCGTCAGAGCCGCCTGCTGACCCGTGCCGGCACTTGTCGAGGCAGGCAACTGGAGAGCCTGTTGTTCATGCAATCCTGCACTTGACGATGCATTCGGTTGCTGCTGGCTGGCCTGCGAACCACTCGACCTCGTACCAAAGATGTGCAAATTTTGCAAACCCGAGCTCTGGCCACTGCCCTGCTGCATGCCTGCATTCCCCATCAACATTTGCATCATGCCGAACATGGTCCTTGCAGCATCCGGGGTACCGAACATGTTGGCAGATTGCGATGCCTGCCTCGCCGGCAAAGTGTCTCTCACCACTTTGCTGCTTCGGCGGAGCACGACTTGCGACTGGGCACTCCCATGTGCAAGCACGACTTGCTGCAGCGGCATGGGCTGCTCGGCGGTGTATGCGGAGTTCAAGATTTCCGTGGGCAGATGCATGGGGTCGGCGGGGTAGTGCTGCAAGTGCAGGGTGAACGAAGGTGCACTTTTCCTCTTATTTTTCAAGAGCCTTTTGAACTCTTGAACCAGGTCGAAGGATTCCGTCTGTGAACAGACGATCCCATGCTGCTTTCCTGAAGTAATCACGTGGCCGATCGTCTGTTCGGTCGGGTTTGTCAATCCGATCATGATGCACCGGCTCACGAGGGCTTCCAGCTTGACAGCCACGTTGCCGTCGCCTTGCAGCAACTGGACTTCGCTGGGGGTGAGGTAGGCACCGAAATGGAGCAACACCTGGTTCGGCTTCCTGCCAGAGCTTCGGTTGCCGGCAGCGATCTTCGATGAGACTGCTTCAACCCATGTCGCCCGATGGCTGTCGCTGAAGCAGCTGCCTTCAAAGTGGCCGGACAAAGTTGTCGCCTGCTCTGTAGTCAAAACATTGATGAGACTTAGCCTGTGCAAGAGCTGGTCGAGCTGGTTCTGTGCGATCCTCTCTTTCACATCAGGGGCCATGTTGTTGGTGTGCTGCAAGAACTCCCCGATGCTTTTCATGTGTGCGAGAAGAGCATCGACCATGACGGGCAAGCTGAAGCTGGGAGGCAGAAAGACACAACACTCGAGAAAAAGCCGGCTGCACCAACACCTGCTTGCGAGCAACATGTGCCCTGCAAGGCGAGACAGCCGATGGTGCACAGATGCATTGTCTAACACAGATATGCATTCTCCAGCACAAATGATGGTCGCTGCTGCTGGGCAGACCGAAAGCAGCACGAACAGCACTAAATATCATGCATGCAGCACCATTTCAGTGCACCAGCCAGGAACCATCAATTGCAACCCCATCATCCAGCAATTCCTGCACGTGCTTCTTTCTTTTTATCTTTCTGTTTCCTCTCCTCTGTCGGTGTATATCCTCTCTCTTTGTCTCTCTGCACACACACAGACACACAGACACACNNACACACACACACACACGAGTCTCCTCAACTTTTTTGTGCGGGCCAGCTGCATGTGCCTGCCCCGGGCAGCAGTGCCATTCTGGGCTGCACCCAGGCCGTATACACTTAAGTATATGTATATACACTGCATGGTTAGAGAGCATGCATCATGATATTGCCACGATATAACTGAAGCTTTTAGCCGGGTGCAGCATCCTCTCCAAAGGGATGAAGCTGCTCTATGTGGAGTCGTGCTTGCAAGCCAACACCAGGTATAAATGTCGTATATGCCTATGTATATATAAAGGCAGCCCCGTTCATATACATATATGTATACCAAAAGACCAAACATAGGCTGTATATAATATCTATAGAAGCATATATAGAACAGCAGGTTTCAGGGCACAACCAAACATATTATGGAGCTATGCACGACCCACAAGAAATAGGAGCCCCAGGCAGGCAGGCTGAGGGCTTCAAGGCTTCACAGGCTTAACAGGATCATAAGTTAAGGCCTATTTTAGGGTTCCGGGGTTCAGGGTTTTAGGGTTTGGGGTTTAGGGTTTGGGGTTTCGAGGGATATCTAGGGTTATATGTCCGGGTCTGGGTTTCAGGGTTTGGGGTTTATAGTTAGGGTTTTCTATGGGGTGTTAGGGTCCGGGTTTGGGGTTTATAGTGGGTTTCAGGGTGTTAGGGTTTGGGGTTTAGTGTTTGGGGTTTCGAGGGATATCTATAGGGTTTAGGGTCAGGGTCTGGGTTTCAGGGTTTGGTGTTTATAGTTTGGGTTTTCTATGGGGTTTTAGGGTCCGGGTTCGGGGTTTATAGTGGGTTCAGTTTGTGCATGGGAGTCCACGGAACCCTGCCTGCAGGGGCACACAGCTCTCCAATTTCAGGCTGGGCCCAGGATTTTTTTTTTTTTGGGTGGCTTCTGAGGTCTGGGTTTTCGGGACTATCAGCACTCCTGGGCCCTGCCATTGACGGCCGAAAGCCTGTATCTGCAGCCTGCAACGACCAGTCTTCTATACTCTTCTATTAGAACCCCAAAACCACAGCTATATCAATCTATATGGTGCTCCCTTGCCCCGGGCCCCGAACTATATCAATCTATATGGTGGTCCCTTGCCCCGGGCCCCGAACTATATCAATCTATATGGTGGGCCCTTGCCCCGGGCCCCGAACCATATCAATCTATATGGTGGGCCCTTCCCCGAGGCCCCGAACCATATCAATCTATATAGTGGTGCTTGGCCCCGGACCCCGAACTATATCAATCTATATTCCTGTGGTTTTCCCTTAACCAGCACGAAAGCCTTGCAGGCTGCCCGCTTCAGCCATCTCATCTGCAGCTGTTCCCACCTGCAGTGACAGGAAATATAGGCAGTGTAGCAGAAGATGGATCATGTTGAGGCAGCAGCAGAGGTGGCGAGAACAGCCATCAGGAATCCACGGGCCTCGAAGGGGCTCGTGTTTGGCAGGGTTTAAGGGCTTAAGGGTTTGGGGCTCGTCAGGATCCTCGGTGGCTGGGCAGCAGGCAAAATGCCCACACAGCAATCCCAGGCCTGTCGAGCGATGTGGGGGGCTGCTATGTGGAGCCGGGTTGTGAGCTGAGACCCCGACCCGGCTCCGGTCAAGGGCTCCGGTGGGTGCTGCCTATGGGACAGAGATAAGACTTCAAAGTCGAGGGTGAAGCTTCAATTGAGCCACCGACTTGCCTCTTCCATGGCACCTGTGCCTGAAAAGGCAGCAGAGCACACAAAAGGCGCAATTGGGGATCCCAGGCCTCACTCATAGTGATCCATGGCTGCTTGGCTGGATCTGGCCTCCGTGGTCTTCTTGAATTGCACAAAAGCTATATGTAAACTGTGACGGGACCTGAATGTTGACCGTTTCTGCCAACTGCAGAAGGCCGTCCACCAAGCGGTTGTCCATGGGAGTGTGGCCACCATCTCCCTGACCAGGTTCAGGTTTATGGGTGTTATTCTGGGTTTGTACAAGGTACAGCCGCCTGCTTCCCAGCACCACCTCGGCCCCGGGTCCTCGCCCTCGCACGGCCGGACCCGGGGGCCCAATACTGGCCCCCGTTGTCCAGGAAGCCACGGACGTAGCTCCCTGCAATGTTGGCCGAAGCAACATCAGCAACATCGTTCATGCAAGGACAAGCAGGCCTCGACCACTGCCGTCTTGCTTCAGCATCTCCTCAGGTAAGGGCCGCTTAAGCGGCCCTTTCTGGCCTGCCCACGGTGCCTTCCCCTGCATAACCTGAGGGACTTCAGGTGCCGGGGGTGGGAAGGGGTTCGGTGGGGGTGGCAAGGGCTCCGCTGGGGGTGGCAAGGGGGCGGGGGGGGGAGGCGGTGGTGTCCATGGGTCCTTGAGCTGCTTGGTCTTGGGCTTCGGGTCCATCATGGGCTTGTCCTGCATGGACACGATTGAACTTAGCACAAAATGAAAGCTGCTTGCACTCCTGGCCACCACGTCGTGGCGGGTGTGCCGGCTCCGTTGGCTGCATCCTGCTGCCCTGAGTGTCTGCACATATATATATCACATGAGTCAATGAATGAGTGACCGAGTTCATGGCAGAAGAAGCATGCTGACCCTTCTTCTTGGGCATCGCCTTCGTCTTCACCTAAACACATGTTGCACACAGGCTCAGCAGGGCAATGTGCTCGCTTGAAGTCTGAGACTCGTGCTTTATCCTTCAGCACCCACTTCTCTTTCGGCTTGGTCGGCTCGGCCGTTGCATCGAGATCCTGCACGGTTCTTTTCTAATTACATCAATGCAATGTGAAGAGAATCCGGCCTCCACCTCGTCATCCGTCTGCAGGATCTGCAGCAAGGAAAGCCCGGACTCCTTCCAGTCCCCGTCTTTCCAGAACTGCCAGCCTCACAGGTTTATGAATTTAAAACATTCAAACGGAGTGTTGATATTGGTGCCTTCAGCCGGGGGCTGAGGTGCATCCTTGTCTGGATGGCACCAGAAGCCCTGTCCATCCTGCAACAGGAAGTTATATATAGAGCGATCATATCAAAGGCTGCAAAATTTGAAAGAACCCACCTCCAACCTGACGAGTCTCCACCCGGAGGCTTTCGTCCAGCGGAACTGAGAGGACGTGTTTCCCCACCGTCCTGCATGTGCATCAAAAACCAAAAGTTCCAAGTGACAACTATACGAGGCTCCTCTCTTCATTGGATGGAAGCTCTCCAGGAGGTCAAGCTCCACGAACAGGGCCATCTCCTCCTCGTCGTCCCCGGCCATCGAGGCACTGAGGATGACCATCCTACCGAAGTGCCTGAAGTGGCCTGTGAATGCCTGCATGTTTCACTCCTCTGCCTGCAGCATGCACGTGCTCATGAACATGTGCATGCCCAAGCACCATGCATTCGCAGCCAAAAGTGCTGCATGCACACCAGAGGTTTTCGTGCCATGCATGCCATGCATACAATGCAGAAACTCAGAAACACACAAAACACACACACACACACACACACACACATCTCTCTCTCTCCTTCGAAAGCTCACTGCATGCACCATGCACTTGCACCCCCTTTGTGAACCCTCGGCATGACAGCACTGTCAAGATTGCAACATGCCTCCCAGCTGATATACACATATCACTGATGTCCGGCTCACTTGCTGTCGGCCTTGTGCAACTGTCGTCGCTTCTTCGGGGACTTCGCTGCCTTCTTAACCTTGGCCTTGGGCTTGGAACGGGGCTTCGGCTTGGACTCAGACAGGAACTTCTTCAACAGTCGCAGGGTGTCCTCCTTAGCCTCGACCCACAACGTGTTGCCTCCCAAACCCTCGTACAGCACACGAAAGGCATGCCCCTTGTAGTGCACGGTGAGGATCGGAGGAGCCATAAAGTCGTGTTTCGACGAAGCTCTGAGTACCTTGGCTTTCTTGTGCCCCTTCTCTTGCTCATGGTCCTCCGTCTTGAAAGCCTCCTCGATGGCATCATTGGCGACCTCTTGTCGAGCTGCAATGAGCTCGGCCCAAACCTCCGAGTTCAAGCTCCCACCGTCCTTGTTTGCCCTCAGGTCCAATGCCCTATCTGTGAAGGCGAGGATGCATTGTCTGTCCCATTTGGACAGAGCAAGAAACGTGCCGTCGTTCACTTCCTTTTGCTTGGGGACCCAGGTTTTGCAGCCTTTAAGGTTCACAACCCACTTCTGGGACAAGTGAAGCTGATGATCTTCGTCTGCAGCTTCGAAGTCCATACTTGGAATCCAAGTATCTGAAGCGATTGGGTTGATGACAACGAGCTAGCACAAAGCAAACAAAGGCTGCGAGAAAAAAAGCAAGGACATGGGCTGGCAATGCATGTTTCATGCCACAATGCAACACTCCAAGCTCCTGCCCATGTATGGCACGACCCGAGCTGCGAACTTTTGCACAACCGATGAAAGGCTCTGTCGATCTCTTGCAAAAGCGATCAAGGCTCTGCAACACATGCTCGCCGATCATGGCCCGAGGCCGAGGCGATTTTTGCTCACTCCCGAAATCATGTCAAAATGGGCCATAGCATGTCTGCATCTCAATTATGCAGCTTTCTTGCCCTTCACTCGCCTTTCGGGTGAGGCCGCCTCCAGCGGGTCCTCCTGCCTGGCGGCCTTCTCCTTGTGCACAAGCAACTCTTGCCCGGCAGTCAGAGCCACCGAGTTCTTCAGCATCGGGATCCGAACATCCGATTGCTTGGTTCCGGATAGCACCATGGTCATGTTGGCTTTGGTCTCGTCCTCTACAGTCTGGACCAAGAAAAATGGCGACAAGAACCCCACGAGGTCGTCCGGGGCCTCCTCGCTTGCTTTCGGCATCACGTTGGATGCAGCGATGTAGAACCGACGATCCTGGCAACCTTTCTTCAAGGTTACCTCGACACCTCCCTGCATTGGCTCGCTGCTGCTTCGGGAAAGCACTTTCGAGCTGAAGGGCACCAGCATGAGCTTGCCCTTGGCCACAGCCGTCTTGGCCAGCAGTTTGGTGGGGCGAATGTGCAACTTCAACTTCGCCATCGTGTCATGCATGTCATGGGTGTCAACCAGAGCATGGATTTCCATGTGGATCATTGCAATCGTTTTGGCTGTTGCGAACTCCGGGTGGACTGACCGGGGTCCGAATGGAACGAGATCCTCGATTCCATGAACTTCTGCCTTGCGAGTGAAAACGAGCCATTCACCTCGCACAAAAGCATCGATCGTGGCTCGTAGCGCCCGGCCGTCGGCCAGGCTCTTCAGCTTCACAGCATGGTCGATTGCGAGAATCTCGCACTCCATTTTGTCTTTGCGACGGCGAATGCATGAGCCCACCTTCATGTTCATGGCCTCCAGAATGGCCCCTGGGGTCTTCAAGGATCCATCAGCATTCAGTTCGACCAACCGATCTACGGGCTTAGCGGTGCTTGCCGATGCACTTGGGATCGACTCTGCATGCCCCTGCCACGGGGAGTCGATGTGCACCCCGACCATACCGCTGAGGATGGACACTGCATCGTGCACGATGGCTTCTAAGGCTTTGTATTTCTTCTCTTCGGCATGCACACTCAAGCCCATCACATGGGCCACAAGGTTGCTGTCCACCACAGCGAACACATTGACGAAGTTCTGGTCATGGAGATTCACATGAGAGCCAACCAACCCTCGCAGCTCGGACATCAGACCATCGGCCTTCAGTGCCTTGCCAACCATGGAGGTATTGCTGAAAACTCGCTTCACCTCCGTCGCACTCATTTGCATGCCTGTCAAAGCCGATTTCAGCAAGCCGTGTCGAAAGAAGGCCGCCTGGTTCTTGCTGCCTTTGATTTCGTGGCAGATGGCCTCCCACACCTTGTCGCCCAGAGCTGTCGTGGAGCCCCTGGCCCTCACATACTGCTCTGTCTCAGCCAAGAACTTGCCATCGACTCCTCCACAATACCTGTTCTANNTATAATATATACTACAATCTACACCCCAAAACAACTCCCATGCATGCAACAAAGACATGTACCTGCCATGCGAGCTGTAAGCCCTGCAAGGCGATACAAAACATGCTGAGTAAGGAGCTTCAGGGCGAACTGGTACAGGTGAGCGAAGGAACTGCCACATGCAGGCCGAGATGACAGGGCCTTCTTTTTGATGATGTTAAAGTCCAGTGGGATGCCGGCCTTTTGCTGTGCAACGATCAACTGGAAGGTCTTTCGCAGGACTTGCAGCTCGGACTCCGACTTTTGGAGTGTAGCATTTCCCGCCGCTTGGATCATTTGCAGCAGCTCCGGCCATCGAAGGCCAATGGATGAGGACAAAACCTCCCAGTTCAACCCCTTCTGGACGTGTTCAGCTAGGGCTGCATCCACCTTGGCCACCAGTGCCACATCGAGGTGGCCTCCAACGGTGACCCTGTGGCTCTCGGGGCCCTCGTGAGGGGCCCCGTCTGCGACGATGCGGAGTGCGAAATTCGTATGGCTGCCACAGAGGCTCAAGGCCTTCAAGGTCTGTGGCTTCATGGTGCCCAAGAGGCCTTGGCAGCTGCCAACGAGCTGATTGTTCCAATCGAGCTCTTGCTCGTTCGCAGGCTCGATCGCGACACAGTGCGTTCTTTCTGCAACGAAGCCTACTTCAAGTAGGTTGGAAAGCAGAGTGTGCACATCTGCACTGTTCAGGCCTGTGCCATCCCTGTTCTTGGGATGCACCCCAACAGCTGCAGGCACCAATCGCATCGAAGTGACGAGGCCATGCTCGCGGAACAACACCATGATTTGGTGCACCGTGTTGACAAGCTTGTCGCCAGTGGAAGCACCGGCCAGCAGTTCGGTGACTCGTGCATCCACATCTGGAGGGATCATCATCGGCATGATGATGGCACTTCAAGATTTCAAGATCCGATCTCGCAAGCACTTGCAAGTCTGAGCAACAAGCTGCAATGGCAAACATGCATGCATGCATGCCCTGCATGGCGTCTTATATATGACTGCCAGCGAGCAAAACATGTAAGGATGCTGCATGCAAACAGATGCAGAGAACAATCCTGCCTCCAGGATCATGCTCTCTTCGGCATGGTCTCCAAAGCAATTCCTCCGGCCGAGAACAAACTTAGCTGACTTACTAAATCTGTCAAGTTTGTTTAGCTAAATATGCTAAATGACTCACAGTAAAACACTAAGTCATTTAAAGCAGTTATCTGTAAGTACTCTTTCTGACATGTATATGTGATATCCACATACATCACATACTTTTCAAATATATGTCCATGCTACCAACATACTATGTGTAACAAAACAAATATGCACCATAGCATGCTTATAAATGCAGTAACCCATACTTACCCAAATTATTATTCTCACTTATCCGATGTACTATTTTGCTTAACAGGTATATTCACATACCAAACCGACGGCCTTCCAAGTATCGCGAGTTTTGAAAGGGTGGGTGCCAAAGGGCACCCTGCNNGCCGCGCGTGGCGTAGACGCATGGTGACGCCACGGAGTCAGAAGTCACGATGCGGCCTCCCCTGTATGCCTCCATCCCCAAATTGAGGAGGAGTGGGGGGAATTGCCAAGCGGCGGCTTCCTCCACAAGCCTCTCGTGGCTGACGCGCTCATAGAAGGTGCTGAGGTCGAAGAAGATGGTGCAACGATGCACCTTGTCGACCCGACAGGCCTC